AAAAGAAATTTTGAGCAAACAAAACAACAATGTATTGATTTTAAATCAACTCATGATAAAAATACAAAAAATATGAATGGAAAAGAAGTAAAATTTTAATTCTATAAATTTATTAAAATTTAATTTTAGATATATTTAAATACATAATAAAAATATAAATATTTAAAATATATTATTCTAATCTTGACTAGATTGACTAGATTGAACGCTCATAGGAGAACACATACAATTTTTATTTTTTTTCTTTAATTTTTTATTTTTTTTTACTAAATATTCATTTACTTCAATTAATTGGCTTTTTTCTTTTTTATGTTGTTCAAGTTCTTTTTTTAATTGATTTAATTCATTATTTACTTGCGTAATCTGAATTAAATTATTGACAGTTTCTGAACATGATACATTATTCTTTTGAATATTTTGAATTCTTTGTTGTTGAGTTAATACTTGATAAGGTTGAAATCGTAAAGGTGGTTTATGCTTTTGAATTGGCATTCTATTATAGATAAATTTAAATAATAATTTATTTTTAATTAATTAATTAAAAAAAATATATACTCACTTTAGCATTATAATGAAAAGTTGGTAAGAGTACGTTGAAAATTCCATTTTTTTTTTTTTTATTATAAAAATAGTTACACTAAATTGTTTAATTCGTGATTTAAGGTCTTATATATAAAATTATATTAATAATTTGTATAACATTATATGACTAATTCAATTTTTAAATATAGTCTTATCAATAAGACGTAATCTTGATTTAAGTTCTTATATATAAAATTTAAGAAAATACGCATACATTATATCTAAAATAGAAACAATGACAACGCTCACAAAAATAATACAGATTAGATTTCTAATTCAAATATTTTTCTTACCGATGCGCAGTCTCGATTGTCAAAATAAATACTTATTTAATATTTATTTATTTATAATTTTAATATATATTATGTATCGCGCAGGGCGCCTACCCCTTATCATAATTGGCCTATTCTTCTTAGAGCACCTTTTGAGACTATTGTCTTTATTTCTATATAGGTGAGGATTGTTTTGGTACGGGTTGGTGCCTACGAATATGACCCTCACCAAAATCTCTTGATATGTAACTTCCAAGTAGTGAGATTTGGGCAACTTACGTTTTCGTAAGGCTAATAACATATCAAAATTTAAAAAATTCAAAAATTTTTAAAATGTAATTTGTGAAAAATTTTATTAATGAACTTAGCAAATTGCTTATATGAAACTATAAGTATTTTTGTTAGATGAACAACTTTTATTATTGACCAAAAGTTGATTGATATAATAAAATTTTGTGCAAAACACGATTTCTTGTTTGACGGCGATTTTAAAGAAATGATTTCCAAAGAAAATACGAAAATCGTTTCATCAAAAATCTATCTAATTTTACGAATATTCATTCGTTTGACTTAAAATTTGACACATGAGTTCTTTAAAGTTATCTGTATCAACTTTATTATCATCGTATATGAGGTTTTCTTTTGACAAAGCGGTCAAGTTAACGAAAACATTCCTGTAAATAGTAAAATAAAAAATTCGTCAGTAGTTTTTTGACAAAAAAATGATATAACTCGATGAATATTTGTTCAAAATATGTGAAATTTTACATAATATAATTTCAAGATATTTGCT